GCCAATACGCAGATTGTCGAGAGAACGAAGAGAACCTGAACGGCTTTTGTTGCAGCTGGAACAATCTTTGCCGGTGGACTTATGTAGTGAAGATGAACGATCGTACTATACTACTCACACGACTACTATTCAGTAGTAGGACCAGAGCATATATCTTGGACATCGAAGTAGTCGCAGGAAAATTGCAGGAAGATACATCGGAGTGCAGCATTACCCAAAATGGTCATTGCTACGTAAAGGAACTGAGCATTGGCGTCTGTGACAACAGAGATGGTCTGAGATCAAGTACCGCGTGCAAATGAGTGGTTTTGTTTGCGGTTCTGTTTAAACACGTAACCCATATGTTGCTTTCTCGAATAAATAGCCCGTTTGCCGTCCATTTACTTGGCTCACAACTACCAGTACATCCGAACTTTTGCAACGATCACTGGTCTACCTTCGCGGCGTGACCATTGAAAATAGGCAACCAACTAACGATTTTCTAATCCTTCAAGAAACGGAATCCGAACACTTGAAACCTTAACCAGGTTCCGTGATGTGTGGAAACTAATGATATGACGATGAGTCCGACAAGACAAACAAAAGCGAAAGCAATACTAACGAACATGTTGATACAAACGCTGTATTTGAATGCAAATTAGGCAATTTGTGTAATTCTGCCTACCGCAGCAGAAGATACTATTAAAGACATTAGATTTTGTTCTACAAACTGAACTGTCAAAACTTTGTTGCTTTAAAGATCATCGTAAAACAATGAACATCACTCAAAGTCAGGTACAAGAAATGGTTAGAGTGCTTTCCAGCGTCCAGCCCGTATGGTTAATACGTGCACATCGCACAGTCGTGAACAAACAGGGTTTTCAAAGTCTGCTAGAATCGGTTGATTGGATCGGGTATAATAAGAGAAGGAACATGATGCTCACACGTTGTTCGCTCTGCCGCGAAAAGATCAACTGACTAGATTACCTACGCTAACTCGAGTTATACATGTACGTCCGCGTCTAACGCCACTCTGCTTAGCCGGACACCACACGCACACGGTTTGACCAGGGTGAACGAAGCGCTTAGTAGGAATTCGATGTGGAACGGTCAATATCTCCAATCGAAATTCGGCAAGGACTACCTCGATCAATCACACGACGATCACCTTGAAGTATAGGCTTCTTCTAGACAGATAACAGCGACATTAGGTGGTCAGGTATCATCACCACCATCATCACTATCACCAAAAACAAGTTATCAGTAGCTTTTAGATGAGACCCAATTGTGAAAAGTCCAGACTTCGGCTGGATTCGAACCAACAACATAAACACCATGCCCAGACGGGGCTCTACAAGCTGAGCTACGAAGCCACGCCAGAGGCTCGAAAATTTCATCTTTGGACTCGGTAATCCACTGTCTCATATGGAATCCAGCAAATGATCCATGGGATCGACTACCCCGGAAGGATTTCCCAACCAGTTCACACTGGAATTCACCAAAGCCCCTGTTAAGTAGTTCTAACTGATGCTAAACTTCCATACAACCATGGAGAAAGAAACAAGCCTTGGTCAGGAAAAGAAAAGAAATTGACGAGGAAAAGAGGGGACCTAAATACCAAAAAACACCCACGTCTATTTTCGAACATCCAACATCAAGAGGCATACACATTACAAACAAACAAAGCGAGTCATAAGTGAATGTAAGGTATCATTACCGACACAGCTTCCTCACGGCTTTCACTACCGTCACGCCATTAAGAGCACTCATTTCGCAGACAACTCGGCCAAATGTTGGAAACATCCTCGCCAATGAACTCGATTAGCCGTCATCTCACCCAACGTCTCCAGTTACCGACTCTATGAGTCACGAGGTAACCGACTCATGAGACGAACCCGCCTCACCCTAGACAACCCATCGCCGAATGACTTCATTTCTCTACGCTTGGTCACCATCTGCCCATTTCCCACTTTGCGCCAATCTGCCGCAGCATCGGAAAACAGTGCTCGGTTAGGCAAACGACTAACCAGCATCTTCAGCACATCACCGAGCCATCTAAGTCTGTACAAATTGAAGAGTGAACAAAAGAAATCGCTCGGTAGCCATCGCCAAATACCTGTTTCACAATCTATTCGTTGTTTACGCGTTAGAACCACCCGCTGCTACCAGTCGAAGGCAGAAGTCGATGGTCAAATATATGATGACAGTTCACGTCTCCTAACCTGGGCGGCCATGTTTTACTGGCGTAAATTAATACGGTTTTCACTGTCGCGTTATATATGCAACCCCTAAACCTCAAAGAAATATCTACCTGTCGCCATAGGTGTCCTAGACTAGTGAATACTGCCCCAGTCTTAGAGGTACGCACACATTTGTCGCTGCTACTGCAGTTTTCCAAATACATAAACCGGTCAACAACTGCCATAACTTCATTATCTAACATTAAATCTTCGTAATCACAACAGCTTTGCAGGAACACGTTGCACTTTGGGGTTACAAAGTGCACTTCAAAGTATTTAGCAGGACACGAAGTAGCGCTTAGCGATGTTTGTGCTACTTGAAAGTTGTCAAACAGCAACGCCTTGTCGTCAGCATAATTAAGATCAGTCATTCTTCCAGCAGGTGGGAGATGCACGCCGGCATCTTGTAACTGTCGGAGACAATCCTCCATTATATCGTCCATCATAAAACCAAACAAAAATGGTGAAAGAGAATACCATTGACGTACGCCGCTCCTGATGATAAAACTGTCAGAAGATTCACCATGAACCCTAAACTGGGCTAAAGTATGAGAATAAAGTGCTGACAGTATGTTCACATGCTTGATCGGTATACCCTTGCGTTTAAGTGACTCTAAAAGCTTAGATCGATCCACTGAATCAAACGCACCTTTATAGTTAAGAAATACGGCAGGTTTATGATAAGCAAGGTATTTATAAACTTTATGGCTAATCTGTTTCCATTCCGGGGAAAGACCGTCATGAGACTACCAAGTAAGTAGGGAAATTGCTATGCGGCAATGCAAGCATGAGACCTGCAGTTCGTTTGCTTCGATTACAAAATGAAACCTCCCCGCTGAACTGCAAAAAAATGAAAACCATCCCTGAGAAGACTTTTGATTAAGTGTATAGTTCTTTCAGTTTTATTTGTTTGAGTTCAACCACCATGAAACAGTGGTAACAGATAACGATTATTAAGGAGTCAACGACATCAAATTTAATGGTTACACTTCACACGGAAATTGATCAATTTCATTTACCGTCAAAACCTTTAGACAGCAATCCTACCAATTTAATTCATGAACATACGTATCGGCACAGATGGCTGAAAGTGAATATATTCAAAGCCGCTCACAGTGCACACAATGTCTCCTTATCGAGGCACCCAAAAGACTGCAGATGACTCATCTACATGAACTGCCTACAGATGGTAGGCGCTACGTGAGCGAATCAAAAAAGTGTCAAACCAATCAATTGAAATACAAAATGAAAAGAAAGTCTGTCGTTAGACCCTATCAACCTTATCAGTAGCATTAACAACAGTACTTCTGAGATTGAGGAGATGTTTGCAGCCATGTGAATATGTGGAAGCCACAGTATCATGTCCAAAGAGCTGAGATAGAAGGGTTAGTTTAGTAAATAAAAAACGGACTCCTACTGTCCACTGATTAACAACACTCGTTCACTTGAGATGGTTATCTTGGATCCCACCCACTTGATCAGCAATCGACGGAACATTATTTCCGGTTTTCCATAGTTTTCCATAGTTTTCCGTGTCCACCATTATCTCGTGCGAATCAGAGTAGTAGTCCTCGGTGTAAGCATTTAGACAACTGCGGTTCACAGATGTTGCGAGCAGCGCCTCACATTAATTCGAAGAAAATCAGCAGACAAGAAAGAAGTGTGGTGATTCACATACTTCCACGGTTTAAACTCAAATGATCAACACCATGGTGCCTATTAGAACTGGCAAACAAATAACTAAGTTTCACATTGGTGTAAGAAGTAGTAAAGAGAGAACTGTCTTGGGGGCTTGTACTGCCTCATTTCAAGCAAGATTGCTGCACAAATTTCTTTTTCAAAGAACGCATGATCTTGACTTACACTGGCGATTAAATAACTGAACTAGACATGACTTAAGGGCCCAAGGTTACAAGTGCCGGCGAACAACGGAATGCCTAGACCAGGAACCGGAGCTATGAACATCACCACTATTTCCAGCAGTCACATACCCAGCATTCAATAGTAACTGTTTGGTTGTTGTAGAATTGTTGTAGAATCAAGTTCGATCTTGAATCACATTTTCAGTCAAAGGGCAAACTAAAACGCGACCCAACTGCAGGTACAATCCCAGCAAACCTGCAAATGATAAGAAAAAACCAACAGGTCCTAAATAAAATACGGAACCTGAAGACTTACCTGGACCGTAAATGATACTCATCGTTAAACCTATGATAAACGACGGTTGACGATTATTTGCTTGTGCGAACATTGGGCAGGTTGTTCACAGCTGTTAAGTAGAGGTTGTGTGGACCATATTTAATTATTCAGAGTCTAATATTTACTACTGAGAAAAGAATGGTACACAGTTGGGGATCGATGCATATTATTAGACTAGACATAATCGTGTGAGCAATAGGAAACAAGCGAACACTTGGGACTCACCTGCAATGGAAGATAACGTCCGAGTTGATAGAAGTACTGATAACAATACTCAGGTGTACACGCCTTGTCGGTAATGTTGGACGGTTAGGATCACGTTGATGCGGTGTGGAATCGTGGGGTTATAGTTAGCTCACTTCCTCGTGTTCGTTGGATTGGCGCGTTACAGAACCGTCAATCTTCTGAGGCGCGGTGTTAAAAACTGTGTTATGTTACACGCCAATGAGCTTTGTCACTTGCATAACTGGGTATCTCGTATGGTAAACACGCTTAAAGATGACTGGATGTGCGTGCGCGTTGTGGCGCGTTATGTGGCACTGGTAACCGCTATGTGGCCGAGAAGGGCTTACTGTCCGCCGGTTGAGTGATAGTGAGAGAAGCTTTATCAGAGTCGCGTATGCGGCCCGGACTGTCGGCTCACGCGTCAGTCCGTGTAGCCCATCGCACCGGTCTATGTGGCCTTGGGCGTCGGTGGAAGAATGCGTACGTGAGTGAGGCACTGCACGCTTGAAACCCATGGATCCTCTTATTTGACCAATAAATAGCTCTCACCAACATGGACTAGCCGTACAGTTGATTTACATTCTAGTCGTCATTGGCTAAAACTCATA